TGTACACAGGACGCCCGCTATTCCCGGGAACCACAAACGAAGACCAGCTGCTAAAGATCTTCCGCGTCATGGGCACGCCGTCTGAGATCTCTTGGCCCGGGATTTCGAAATTCCCGGAGTACAAGGCTGATTTCCCAGTCTATGCGACGCAAGATCTGCGGCAGGTTGTTCCGCGAATCGACCACCTGGGCGTCGACTTGCTGAGGCGCATGTTGCAGTTGCGGCCGGAGATGCGCATCAGTGCGGCGAGTGCATTGAAGCATTCGTGGTTTAATGATCTTCCTCGGCCGGTCCCATGGAGTGCTCAATAGTAGCTGCAGCTTGCTTTATTCTTTCTTTTTGTTATTCTTCATTACTAAGCTGAGTAGAACTGACGAGGACTGTAAGGAATGACGATCACCCTTGCGCAACCCATTACCATTCCTAGCTGAGCATCATTCTGGTTTCCAATAACTCATAAAAAGCCAAGCAAAACGATTAAGCTGATCACCTTCATTAACCACAACTAAGCAACAACCCGTAACCCAAGCCCACCCCCAGCAAAAGAACACTTAACAAACCGTCAAAACCAAATCCACCCCGGCCCTCTGATTCCCAACCCTAGACCCCGCAGGCGGCACCCCCCTCTCCCAAACAATATCCGTAACCTCCCCATCCAAAAACACCCTGCTGCCCCTAAACGGATCCCCAAAGACATCCGACAAATCATACCAAACCCTATCGGCGACAAGGTTATACGCAAAAATAGTCTGGGGCGCCGAAGTCTCGAGCCCGTTAGGCACAGTCGTGAGCTTGATGCCCACGCCACCGGTTTGCGGGTCCCGCCGGAATGTCTCGGCGTAGAGGGCGCCCTGCGTCATGTTTTGCTGCTCGCTGACGGTCGAGGACACGGACCAGAGGTAGATGGGGAATGCGCAGTTGTTGCGGACGATTGCGTGGCCGAGCTGGGTTGTTTGGTTCTGGGGGTTGGTTTGGTTTTGATAGTAGGTTTGGTTCTGGGCCTGGAGAAAGGGGAAGGCCGGCGTGAGGGTTGGGAGGAGGAGGAGGGCGGTGGTGGTGAGGAGGGTTAATGGGAAGTGCATTTTCTGTTTGGATTGAGATTGATTGGGATGGTTTGGTTTGGGGTTCTCTCGGTTGGGATGTGCTTTTCTTGGAAGGGGAGAGAGGGCTTCTATATATCTTGGACTGACAGCTTGTTCTGTGTACCGTTCATATATCCTTGCGCATTTCTAAATTGATTTACTTTTGTTACTGTGTTTCCTAGTAAGACCCGACATTTCTTGATATCTGACCGCTGCAGAATCTCCCGAAAATTACCTTTGCGTGGTGGTGTTGCTGCAAGGGAGCTTGTGTATAGTAATACGATGGTCGGTGCATTTGGTCGAAATTATGTATAGTGAGCGACAGGTCGGAACACAGATACATGGGAAGGCAGGCACCATGTTTTATATCGTGTTGTATCTGGGGTTTGACAAACCCGCGGTAAATGCTTCATACAGCTACAATCAGTATGTAGCTTTCCTAGGACAAGGACCAGGTGCATTTATATCTCGGAGTGGGTGTAACGCAGCTCGTTAGCATTCTGGCGGGTCTGCACTGCTCAACAATGCCGGGCTATCTCTGTTCTACATGCATGGGTCTACTCCAGATCAATGTTTGTAGCGGCGTCGAGGCGCTCTCTGGTGAGCTCTCAGAAATCATTCAGATAGATGTAGGCTATAGCTTGCTATGTATCCTAGAGCCGATGTGGACTAATCGAGAGGGTCAATATATAAATGGCGATAATTTCAAGGTCACATTCATATCTGATTTCAATATCCTGTACGGCGGACAATATTTACATGTACAGTCAATGATAAGTATATACAGGAACACAACAAGTCAACAATTTACAAAGAAAAGCTCGGATGGTCTCCAATGACATGTACACGGCTGGCGACGTCCGTGACACCAAAACCAGGATCACAGCACGGAGTCACATGTCGTCGAAGCTTGACACGGAGGATTTTTAAGCGACTGGGACAATAGTGCTGCTAAGTGGAACATTCCCCTTCCGAGCAACTACCTGGAAGTAAGGGCTTCTCAAGTTGTTTACATCTACAGCGGTCTCGAAGCCGGTCCGTTGGGCAGATGTAATAAAGGTATGGTCGGTAGACTCAGGAGAGCTGGCCGTGTAGATGGCCCAGTTGTCATACTCAGTGGCCCCATTCCAGCTCATATGGACCGTGGCAGAGGTTGAGTGTCGCTCCACCACGACGGCGGGTTTCCAGAAAGGGGTAGCCTTCCACTGACACTTGTAGCCCCGGTAGGACGCAACAGCATTGTCGTCACCAAACTGGGCGGTGAGGACCACATTATTGTTGGCGTCAAATTCCTTCACCTTCGAGATGGAACCGTAACCCATGAAGACATGGTTCGTTTCCTCGCTCATCAGCTGGTAGCTACCCTGACTGACACTGTGGATGACATCACCACCGTCGTTCATGGTCCGCAGAGTGGTAACCTTCCGGTTGACCAGGTCCAACGACAGACTCAGACCGGTGGTGGGAGCAACCGTTTCCGTGGGTGTGTTGGCATTGTTAAACAGGTCCAGGACCATGCCCTCATTTGTCTGGTTATAGACACGCATGTCATGCTGCCACGAGAAGACGGCACCATCGTCGATCTCAAAGTCGCCAACACCCTTCTCACCCTAAAAGAGGCGTCAGTGTTGAAAGTGGCCAGTATCAAACGCAAAAACTTACAGCAAGTCGCCACATGACCGTACCGTTCTCGGCGATGAAGTAGCCGGACCAGTAGTGACGCAAGGAGATAATCCAACCTCCATCTACAAGCTCCACCGAATTGATGTGATACGCATCCCATGGCTTTTCTTGGGTGCCATACTCGTCACCCAGACCTTGCTTCGACTGTTCCAGGGGAATATCTTGAATATGTTCAAGGGCACTCCATTGATACACAATATTATTGGTGGCAATATCGATCTCGAAAAACATGCCATCCAGCATATAGTCATCCATTTTACCGCCAATGGAGGTCAGATCATATTGAGTGATATTGTAGGCGGTTACCAACAGGGTGTTGCGGTTGGTTACGTGACTTTCGTGGAGATCAATATAAGAGTCTCTGGCAACACCATCCGGGGAGATGAAGTTCCCTGGAAGGGTGACAGTGTAGGTCTCCTGATAAGTGTCGTCAAGGATGTGAACAGTGCCGTAGCCGAAACCAAGTTCCATCATGTTACCCGCCCAGAAGGTGATGACATCTTTGTTATACAAACTCTGCACCTTGAAGTTGGCCGCTACCTCGGTAGGGCCTTGATACACAAGGTTGCCGTCCTCATCGTAGATGAGGGCCGCAGTGCCATTCGGCTGGTTACCCCGAGGACCAATGAAGATGTAACCAGGGTCGGTAGCTCCGGTCTTTTTCACCTCGAGCTGAGGGGGCGTAAAGTCAGCCGTCTGTAGAGTCATATACGGCCAAGTATCTTGGGCTAGCGCCCCCATGGACAGCAGCAGGGTGCTGAAAGCAGCGACGAATCCGCGGGCCATATTGCGTGATTGCGGGTACCCAGTTCACAATGATAGTAGGACGCTGATCAAAACAAGCATATATAGGATTTAGGTTCTACTCTGTAGAGTACAAAGTTCAAAAGAACGATAAATGAGCGACGTGTGTCTACTCCAACTCCGACGTGACACGGTCAAAATGAGGGTATCAAAGAATGACTGAATAGAACAAAAAGGAAGGAGAGTTAATAGAAAGGAGAAAAGAATCTGGCGGCTCCTTTACACCATGGCCAATATTAATAGGGAAAGACGGTGGGAAAAATGGAGGGAAAAGCCGAGAAGAAGGGGCAAAGCGGGAACAACGCCGGACAGGCAGTGTGGGACCGGGACGCTTCCTCACTTGCCCTGTGGGGAGAGGAAATAAAAATGGAGGAAAAAAAAAGGTCTGCACAACATCAACGTCAATTCAGGTGAAACTGGCGGAAAAGCCGATAACACGGAACATCAGTCACAGTTGGCCGTTTGAACTAATGCTGATCGCGGTCCCCCGCCGGCTGTCCATACAAGAGACACGCAATAGGATGGGTCCAGCGAGAAGTTTACTTCACTGACGTGCCGATCCCTTTTGAGCCGTGGATTCGCGACCACAACCATGGGGTACACTGATACTGCGGTCCCATCATGGATTAACAAATTGGCTGGTATACTTTCTGTATCTTTCTCTCTCTCTCTCTCTCTTTTTCGCCCTTATTCCCGGTGTTTATACATAATATGAGCGGAGAAGACCAAAGCAAAAGAAGGTTATGGCCACATGGTCCGGCCCAACAGGGGTACGATATTGGTTGCCTCAGGCGGAGATCTCCACCAATAGGGCCCAGAACACCAGTCCCTGAATGAACGATCGGCAGACTATCGCCGCCCCTGAGTTTCATTACCATTACTACAATCATGCTGATACTAACAATTTCCGCTCAGCTGGAGTAGTATCAGATAAGATTACTCCGTACACGCGACCAAATCCAGCCCACCAATTGAATGATCCGCTTTCGGGTTGGAAGCAGCGTATGACGATTTCGTGCGTTGATAAGCGAGGTGACATTGATATGCAGGTAGCGGACTGGTTGAAGTGCTTAATTACTAGTATATTAGCCCTATAATAAATGGTTCTTGTGCACCTACCTAATACGGGTGCCGCCGCTTTTATAAAGACATCGCATAAATAATCAGTGGGCGCTCTGGGAACATTCGAGGTCACGTTCTCTTTAAATACAACTAACTCTAGATATCATGCTAGTGCTTTACATACTATATGCTGTTGATATCTTGGTGTAGGTAGTCTTGTATATTGTCCCGTATGCGGTCTCTGAGACCGAGGGTGCTAGAGAATATCAAACAAAGAAGCCCAACTACAACACTCTTAGTCGCTTGACATCCCTAGGAAGGGGAGCGCCATCTCCTCGCCGCGCGACTCCATGGCCTCCAGGTAGCTGGCTACCAGGGGCCGATTCCCAAAGTGCGGGCCCTCTGCACCCACTCTGCAAGCGCAAGGCGACCGAATACCCCACCATAAAGGTCCTGCATACGCTCCTGGATCTTGTCAACCGGCACCTTGACCCCACTGGAGTGATGGGTGAGTGATGCAAGCGATGTGGCATGATCCCTGGTTACCTGCACACTCTGCAAAGCTTTCTTCACGATGTTGGCTGCCACACCTCCCACCTTCTCAAAATCAAAGAATCCTCTTACATTGGGAAATTGTGGTACGGCTTTCATCAGCACAGAAAACCGCAGGATCGCATTCAAAGCATCCTCGCTGGGCGCCTGGGCGCCTGTCAGCGCACAAGGTCGGTGGGTGCACACATCCAACCCCGTCACCTCGGCAACATTCTCTAGATATCGCTCGCTGGCCCATTTCGACGCAGTAAAGCCATCGCTGCCAGTCTTGGGCGGCGGGAATGCCGATACTGACCCCGGAGGGAGCGCGATATCGCCGGAGAGTAACGTCACCCGGTTAGAAGAAACATAGTGTAGGGGAACGCCTCTCGAGAGCGCCAGCTCGGTGAGGAAGCGAGTTGATCCTAGATTGGGCATTCGTAGCGACAAGTAGTTGTTTAGGCAATGTCCATTTGCACCCGCATGGATCAATGCGTCTATGGTCGACTTCCCTGGTGCTCAGCCCTAGCACAGAAACATTAAGGGATCCAGGGTAGATAACAATCTTATGGGACTTTGGGAGACTCTGACCGTGCTGCGCGTCTACTGCAAGACAATGGATTTTGCTGACGGTCGTACGAGCAAGGCCTTCAAAATCTCCACCCCCAGAAACCCGGTCAATCCCGTGAGGGCGATGTGCAGATCAGTTGTTTTGGGCTCTCGCGACCGTTGGCCGCGTGCGAGGCCGCCGGATACGCGTGTCTCCTCCTCCCAATCGATTGTCTCGGAGAAGGGCTGGTTCTTCTTCTCGTCATCAATGAGAGTAGCCATCCGTCGCAACGTAGAACACCGGTACAGATCCTTGAGGGCGATGGATAAGCCATTTGCATTCTTGATCGCTACCTGGAGTTTGACCAGGAGCAGGGAGTTGCCGCCCGCCATGAAGAAGTCCATTCGTGGATCAATTCGCCCGGTCTGAGTGACCTGCTGCAGGACATCCTGCCAGATCAGGCGGAGCTCCCCCTCTGCAGCACTTAGAGTCTCAGTGGGAAATGAGGAGTCGGTCTGAGTAGGCAGAGGCTTATCCTGTAAAGCTTTCCAGTCGACCTTCCCATTCGGAGTGGTGGGAAGACGATCAAGTAGCACTATAGCTGCCAGACACATGTATTGGGGTAGCGGCAAGGATTTCTTGAACGACTCGAGATCGCTATTCGTCACCTTTTGACCCCTGGCCGGTACTGCATGAGCGACAAGGAATTCTGGGCCCCCCCGTACCGACACCACCGTGTCTGAAAGCAGTCCGGCGGCGACTTGAAGCAGGGTGTTGGCCATCTCTTCGAGGTCGATCTGTAAGCCATGTAGCTTGATCTGTGTGTCACCATCGAGTCGGCTCATAAATATCAAGCCCCCGTCTGGCCCCAGCCTCCCACAATCGCCCGTCTTATATAGCCTCGTCCAGCCCAGGCGCCTGTCTGCTGAAGATGCAAAAGGGTCATGGATAAACTTTTGCTTGTCAAGGTCTGGCAGGTTCCAGTACCCGAGGGCGACCCCGACACCACCAATGCATACTTCGCCAACGAAGGCCGGTGGGACGAGTTCCCCATTCCCACCTAAGATGTATATAGTCGAATTGGGAATCGGCCTTCCAGCCGTCGAATATTCATTGGCTGCATCCCGGTGCAAGTCAAGCGTGTTGGATGAAGTAGCAGCGGAAGTTTCCGTTGGCCCATAGCAATCAGTCACATTGGGACAGTAAGGAGATAAGCGCCGGAACTCACGCTTTAGTGGCTCTGTCACCGACTCACCACCGCGACAGGCATGTCGCCAGTCCCTGTATTGACGGAGGTAGTCACCGGCATGTTGAAGGAGCATCAGGTACTCAGACGGCGTCCCAATCATGAAAGTAACCTTCTCCTGAAGCATCAACTGCGCTGTCGCAACAGGGTCCCCCCGGACACTCTGCGGGACAACCACGACAGTGCCTCCATGAGCAAGGGCGTTTCCGATCTGGGCAGGTTCGATTCAGCAATATACATGGTGGGATCTAGAAGCAGGTTTGCACCAGCTATAATGGAGGCTGAGGCCTCCCTGTTTTGGAGCGAAAGAACGGCCTGGTGCAAGGCAACGAGTGAGCTAGAGCAGGCTGTGTCAATAGTCATAGATGCTCCTTTCAAGTCAAAAAGGTACGAAATTAGGTTTGATATAATACTTCTTGCGGTTCCAGTCGCGTTATACCGAGCTATAGTCTCCGTGTCCCGCAGCTGGATGTCGTAGTAATCGGCGTTCATCACGCCGACAAAAACTGATGTTTTGGTCCCTTGGATGCCGTCCAGGCTGCAGCCGCCACGCTCCAGCCCTTCATAGACCGTTTCGAGAAGGATCCGATGTTGCCGATCCATGGTCTGCGCTTCAAGGCCATTGAGATTGAAAAGTGCTGCATCAAATACATTCGGATCCTCACTCAAAAGGTACGATTTGTTTGTCGCATTAGTAGAACCATGGTGCTCTCCATCTGTGTGGTAGAAGTTGGATAGCCGGAGACGGCTTGGTGGGAAGTCCATCAAAACATCCCTCGGAGAGCGGAGAAGGTCTCAAAGATTGGATGGAGACTTGGCTCCCCCAGGGAATCGGCATGCAGAACCGACAATGGCAATTGTCTCCACGCGAACATCAGAAAGGCTGCCCATCTCTGCTGCCCGGGCTTGATGTCGAGAAGATGAGAGCGGTGGGATGATGTCTCTCCGATTGGACTTCTGCTGGTACAGCTTGATGAAGAGGGATCGTCAAAGAAAGGCTTGTTCCCTAGCTTCACCAGTACAGAAGCATTTCAGGAAAGTGTCACCACAAGTACATAGAGGCCTGATGGACCGACGCGCTTTCCATTGGACTCTACTGTCTTACTGCTTGTCGCTTTCCTTCGCGGCTAGGACAATAGCTTAATAAGACAGCCCATGTTCGCAAAAAACACGGACGAGTGAGCCAAACCGATGACCATCCTTTGGAAGCGAAAGGAGTATCGGAGATAAGATGATGTTGAGACGGATATGGCTACCAGACCGGCTGGGGTGGTCCCTGCGAAGGAACAGCGGACCGGGCGCCTTGTGGCTTACATGAACCCGCGCCTACTACGCACATTTGCGGCCGAGACGGACAATACACCCCAGGACGACGGGAGACGGTGCTCGGGCAGTCCTTCTGGTCGCTTGTCTGGGACTGGCGGCAGGGGGGCGGGTGTGTTGGGGGAATACAAGCGAAGATTGGCGATTTTGAAGTAGTTAGAGTGCCATAACGTAATCTAAACTAGGACGGTTTGGTTAGGGTATAAGAATTATTCACCCACCTACTAGTAGATATAGGTTAAGGCTAGTACCCGGAGGTCGACCTGTAATTAATCTATCGAGATTCCACAAAGTCAACTACATTCTTTCATGTTGCTTAGGCCTACAGTAAAGAAGCCCATAATGTAGCCATATCCTAGCTGTTCACCAGTATAGAAGACAGTTTATGCGGCGTGTCCATTGTGGGGTGTAGAGAGGAAGCGAAGTGTGGCGTTTTCACTAAAAGTCCGCCCATGGGAGATGTCGACATCGCTTTATTGGAGTTGGTCATTGGTGTTGTGGCACGCACTGGGCTATCTTGGGTTTCAGGGTAGGTTGAAGTATGTGCGCCTGCCAAAGCCAAGGTATCTCCTTATAATATAATTGGAGATCGCGCAGAACCCAGGATTGCGGTACCCCATTAGAGTATCTGGATCACTAGAACCCGCTCCCTTTCATCTCACACAATTCTGCTGTCTAAGGCCGAAAATAAATGATCCCAGCTGCCCGGGCTGCAGTTCTGATCCAGATTGATGAAGTTCTGCCATACATCATCAATGTTCGCATTTTCCAACGGATCGTATGCACTTGGCAAGGTCTGGCTGGGGCTCATCAGGTCCCTGTCCGGCAGATTCGGATCCCGCATGCCACTGACACCGGTGTTAGCCGACAGTGGTCGCACATCCGGGACCGTGGTTGCCGGCAGGACTTGGATCTGATACTTCTGCAAGATGTCCATGAGGGACTTCAAAAACCTGCTCGCCATGGGCGACGTCGCCTCGGCCTCCTGCAGGACGCGGCACGCGTCGACGATCTCCTGGCGGCGGTCTTCGCCGCTGCCCCCCTCCTTATTGAGGCACAGATCCATGACCAGCACCGCTGTGGCAAGGAAGTAGCTGTGGAGGAAGGTGGCCAGCCGGGCGAGCGAGGCCATGTCATGATCCATGAGGGCCTTAAGCTCAATCACACAGCGCGCCGACTGCAGGCACACCTTCCGTGAATATTGATAACGTGGGTTCATGGACACGCGCGTCAGGAAGGGTTGATTCAACTTCGACCGGCGCCCCTGCAGGGTCGACCAGAGGATGTACCGCTGCACGATAATCTGGGGGTACCGGCGCTCGACGTCTCGGCTCTGACGGCGGCTTGCCTCGTCGAGGCGGAAGAAGACTGGGAGACTGCGGATGAAGGCTTCGAAGCGCTGGTCTAGCGAGATAAACCGATCGTAGTTCACCTCGCCCCAGTCCGAAAAGGGCGGGGGTAGCGCATCGATGGCGCTTCGGCAAATGTCGGCCAACTGGATGCGTAGGAGCGTGTAAGTCATCGCCGTTGGTTGCGATAGGGGTCGACTGTACTGCGGGTCACAACAATCGAGGTCCCGATCATCGAGATTCCGGGGGTAGTTGACGCGCATGTGGGCCGGGTGCATCAAGTATGTCCCTTCTTGGGGCCCGCCTGACAGCGCCAGGAGCCTGGGGGGAGGAGGTAGGCGCGTTAGCAGAGCTGGCCGTGGCCGTGGCCGGGGAACGAGTCTGCCACAAAGTAAACTCACCAGTCAGTCGAGACCATATGCCACCACACCCTGCGTTTGATCTCCCGCCCTATATCGCTGTCAAGTGGTGCCTGGGGGCCAGGCAGTCGGTCCGGCTGCGCGTCCAAGCGGTGGAGCGACAAATCGCGGGCCATGGTTAGGGCGCTGGCGCTGAGTGCGCGGAAGCGCATGGTGAAGCCCTCGAAGTTGAAGATGACAAAGGACAGGATGATTGTCGCCTGGATATCTTCGATGGAGCCGGAGGTGCTGCGGCTGGAGTGCTCCAGCACATCCAAGGCCATCTTACTCCACAGGAAGGCACACTTGACAGCTGTCTGCTCGTTGGTGAAGACCGCGTCCCCGCCGGTAAGAGGGGTGAGCGTGTAGGCCGTGCTGGCAAAAATACTGAGAACTAATGCGACATGGCAGGGCTCTATCTGTAACCCCAGGGATAGTTGCTTGTACAAATCCTCCATCTGCTGGCGCACCGACGGGAGATGAAGGATGTGGTGTAGGTAGGTGACATCTTCGCCGTAGCGCTTTAGCAGCCAGGCCGCATCATTCTTCAGTGGCAACCACACCCTCGCGACACAGCTGCCCACGGACGAGGAATTACCGGACGCCTCTCCCAGGGAAATGTCAGTCTGTAATGCCTGCTGCACCGCGAGTACGCGGACAGATACGCCATTGGACATGGATGACAACTACAAGTGGGCAGGGCGCACGGCTCCGTCAGTACATGACACATCGAGTGCTGGCCAGGGCAACATCAGACACTTACTACGGAAGTGTCACGGGTCCCGACCCCTTCCAGCCATTTCGAGTCCCCCTCGCCCTCGGAAATGTATGAGGGCTCCGTAGAGGGACGCGGAGCAGCGGCACTGTGGGTCCGAAGAATGATGTCTTCCAGCCGCTGTAGACGCGACAGGATCTCGGTATTGCTGCCGGTGCCAGTTCCGGCACTGGGACTAGCGGACCACCCCGGCTGCTGCAAGTACGTTGTCTGCGCTTGCACGGGGTCGGTAGTGCTGGGAGACGCGATGGACAAAGTGGTCGGCTCCACCCGATATGCGCGCTCACAGGTAACCCCGCGGCTGGCGCAGTTGGAGCAGGGTTGGTCGCGACTACATTTCAACTTCATGGACCGGCAGAGCTGACACGAGACCGGAAGCTGCCTCCGACGTCGTCGCTGCATGTTGGTCTATCAAATGCTGACACTATAGCGGAGATAGGGTGATGACATCAAGCTCGACAATATCAAATTAGCTGTAGCCGAGCCAGCAATAGCGGAAAAGCTCAGAACGGAATGTCATGTCGAGGGCGAATGGTAGCTGACTAGAAAGAACCTGGAAAGAAAGAAACGTGAGGGTCCGATCAGTGTGATGGGCCGCTAAGCTTGATCGGGTGCTAAGGCTCCACTGGGAAACAAAACGACAGCGGGCGCTAAACCATATGCAGTGGAGTGGGGCTGCCTGCCACCACTCAGGCACTCAGGCGCTCAGGAACGCTTATTGTCGTCCTCTTCCTGTTCCTACGCCGGTAGTCGCCTGTGCCTGCTACTTATACAGGGAACGACTCTCATATTACTATTCATGCGACTGCCCGCATCTCGAAAACCCTTACCTAATCTCCGTGGCTGTCCGGTGCTCCACGGAGCTCCTCGGAGTCTCCATGGAGAATAAGCGGCACTTGCCCGATCTGGGAGTATATATGGCTCACTGATTCTGTTCTTTGTCTCTGCTGCTGCTGCTTCTCCAAAGCCTTTCTGCCTCTTCTGCTCAGTCCCTGTCAACTCTGGTCTTATATCGTTCATCATGTCCGCGACAGTGGACAACACCGAGGCTAATACCTCCCCTCCAAAAGAGTTCACGTAAACGCCGGTCTACTTCCTTCCTCTGAATACCGCTGATCCTGTGGGATAGGCTTCGCTCGACGATTGCGCTGATTGGAGCCTTCATGGCTCTCTTCTGTACCCTGGGGTTCCAGAACGCTTTTGGGGTCTTCCAGGCATTCTATCATGCCACCATACTGCGCGATCATTCTGAGTTCGATATCGCCTGGATTGGCTCCCTATTGACGTTCATGATTTTTTCCTTTGCAGCGCCTGCGGGCGTCCTGGTGGATCGGGTTGGTCCCACAGTATGTGGTCCCAGGCGAGGACGGGAGGTTGCATCCACTCACCCGTCATCTACAGCCGCTGCTCATCTTCGGCGCCGTTGCCACTATCCTGGCAACCTTTATGATCTCACTATGTAGGGAGCTGTATCAGTTCCTACTAGCCCAAGGTATACTGCTAGGTATCGGCAACGCTTCCTGCTCTGTCCGGCTATGGCTACCGTCACCCGTCTATTTGATCGCCACCGCGGTGCCGCCAACGGAATCATGATCGCCGGGTCCTCCATCGGCGGTATCATCTGGCCCATCATGCTTGATCAGCTGCTCAACAAGGACGGCGTCAGCTTTGGCTGGACCTTCCGCATCGTTGGCTTTGTGGTGCTTCCCCTATGTCTCTTGATGGTCGCAACCATCCGCCCGGCTCCCAAGACACCGCACGATTCGGACAGGGAGGGGGTACAGCTGTCGCACGGCGAGTCAGCGAGCGACCATAAGGCGCAAGGCGCAGAAGGGCCGGCGTCAATTATCAAGAACCCGACCTTCCTCATCCTCTGCGCCGGTCTCTCGGTAGCCACCTTCGGCCTCTTCAGCCCGCTCTTCTTCATCTCCACCTACGCCGCCGAGCAAGGTTTGTCCGTAAGCCTGGCCTTTTACCTCGTGTCGATGCTCAACGGCGCCTCCATGGCCGGGCGGATCTCCACGGGCTTTCTGGCCGATCGTTACGGGAACTTCAACCTCTGCTTCTTGACGATTGCCTCCTCCGGGTTGATTGCCATGTGCTGGACCAAGGCCGCGAACACAGTCGGCATCATCTTCTTTGCCCTAGCCTATGGATACACGTCCGGGGTAAGTCTGTCTGGTTCTAATAAGAACCTTCCGAGCCCTAACACCGCGGTTGTAGGCCATGTTCAGTCTCCAAACCCCGTGTGCCGCCCAGCTCTCGACGCCTGAGTCGAGGGGGGCTGCCGTCGGCATTCTCTTTGTCGCGCCAGCAATTCCGTAAGTATCGTCTTTTTCTCTCGCATGGCTCGTTCTTGCTGACTAATTCTCTCGTACAGCGGACTAGTCGGCACCCCCATTAGCGGGCGCCTACTCAAGCACGGCTATCTGGCCCTTTCGATGTATTCGGGGGCGGCGTTGTTGGCTGGAGCGGGCTTGGTGCTGATCGCACGCTGCGCCAAAACACCAAGCTGATGGCAAAGGTGTAGTTGTTCTTCTGTAGCTGAAAGTGGGCGTTACGTCTACCTTTGCTCTGTCTGTGGGCTTTTTTGCGTTTCTAATGGTCTGTCGATCCTTGATTTTGGATGCGATAGCCTTGATCAGGATTTCTTACGTGTGTTATTGTCAATGCGCCTACAAACAATCCCCACTTGAAGAATAGAGACAAAATATCATGGTTCATTGGCCATTGTGTCATCCGTATCTTCAATTGTCAGGTGAGGTTTGCCGTCACTCGGCCACACACCTAAGTATGATATATATTCACAATCCCTGCAAACTGCAACCACTGCAAGGAAATATCCTGAATAGTGCACAGGATCGCATGTAGACATCTACTATTGGTATTTTAGTTCCAGGTATTTAGCATACCTAAAAAGAGTTTCGTAGGGTTTGTGGATAAAATCCTCACTGATCCTCCTCACAGGTATCAACAAAACATACCGATTATGGATGGCTAATGCGGTTGTGAGCCAAGGCTCGTCCGGATAGAAGACCGTTCCATACAAATGAAAATATAGAAGCTGATTGATTGAAAATGAAATCTGTGTTGGCAGCGTATATCAACCTTCCAGTATTTCTCCCTGCCTAGATGGCGGGTCTGAATTCTACTTCCACGTCCCGGTTGATCGTGAAGCCAGCCTCCGATTTCTCTCCTTGATCAGGCAGTGCAGAGGGTACATGTAGCGTATACTTGTCCGTCACAGCCAGAATCGCTAGCTTCAGAATCACCTCTGCCATATTCTTGCCCAGGCACTTGTCACGTCCGATCCCCCAGCGAACAAACCCAAAGCGATACCGCGCGGGGTCCAGACAAAAAAAACCGCTCCGGGCGGAAAGCATCAGCGTCTGCTCCCCAGATACTTTTGTTTTTATTCAGCCGGTTTACGTCCACGATCGTTGGCGTGTGAGCGGGAATGTGGAATCCCCCAATGCGCTTGTGGCTGGCGTTATATTCCGGTAGGGTGAAGTCTGAGTTTTGTTAGCGAATCCGGGGTATCTCACTGCGTCGATCGTCAAATGAAGAACGTACACATAGCAGGGGTAACGTGAATTGACTCCAGCAGCGAGAAATGCAGTAGGGTGTTCTGTTTGCCAATATAGCCCCCCAGCGTATAGCCGGGCTGGGCTCTGTGGGTAGAAATCTCAGCCCTGAGCTTTTTCTGCATGGTTTGATCCTTCGCTAAGTGCTGGAAGATAAACGCTAAGATAGAACCGGTTATATCAATACTCGTGAAAAGTATTTCGTCCAGAGATTGTAGAGATTGGAAGGGCATTAGTTATATTCCAGTGGATGTTCGAGCTTTGCTTACCTCCGGAAGGCTTATATCGCCGGCTTCGACACCTGCGTAGATCTTTTCTGCTGGACACGAGAGCTTTTCCTACAGGCTTATCAGATACTCCTGGATATAAAATTGGGGACGACGGTACCTCTCTTGCCAGCTTGATCTGGGCGAGGTTGAAAACCTCCCACTGCGTCTGGAATGAGTCCATCAGTCGCTTTTCAGCAGTCGGCAATTTGTTATACCATTTAGACATCACTCGCTTATTGAGAAACGCGACGAAAATGATCTTCTCGTGGAGTTCGCTCATGGCACTCAAAGCCGCGTAGTTCTTTACGTGTAGTTAGCTCATGTTCGAATCGTCAGTGTCCCAAACCACACACACCTCTTCGCTAAACGTCTCGCCATAGATGCTGATCGCGATGGACCTCAAGGACGGATCCTTGCACCTCTTCTTTACATCCTGCATAAATACATCTTTCTGGGAGCTCTTTCTGATCGGGTTCTCTGAGAGATGACTAACCCACGAGTGAATCTCCTGGGAGAATTGTTTCATCATGGAACGGCTGGCCCGATGCGAAAATTCCGGATCCAAATGAGTCTCTATACCCATGAGTGAATCTCATGAACCGTGTATTGTTCAGATATTCCCTGATGCTCTGGTTCTGATCATTCTTAAATTCCTGGCGCAAGTTTTCCGCCAGTGACTGGGTTTATGCTGGTTGCGATTAGGGGCATATTCGGTACTTCTGTTCGTACGAAGAGCCATGAAAGCGCCAGATAGATCACAATACTAGCTACCACAGCCACTGCAGCAGCAATCCCTGTCTTGGGTAGCTCCATATGGCTACCGGCAAGGAAGTCAAACTTCATAGACGAGGCCATTGTTTGTCCTTTCAGGAGACGAGTTGAGTATCCGAATTAGGTTACTTCACTGGTTGACCATAATTTATATATAAGTTTCCTACTAATCTGAACACCATTAATCCTTCTAGTATTGTACCACTCGTAGCCGTTGGCCACTAGCTCCGAAGCGGCCTTTACAACCACATGGTATACTGTATACCCGATGGTATGCCATATACCTTCCCTTGGCGTGTATACCTCTGCTCACGTGACCTTATTGGCGCCTTGTTGGTTTCCCATCATACAACGGGAGGGACTCGCTAGTGGTCGACTACCTCAACGACTTAACGTCTCGGCGCGTGGCTTAAAACGCGGCTGGAAATCGGGTGGCTGCCGCCTGGGTGAGCGAGCCGGTGATCTTGGGTGAGTGCACAATAGTAGATGGAGTGAGCTGGCCAGACACTCACCCAAGAACGTGCGACCTTGCGAAAAGTTACCTAAAGGCGAACCTTATTACTTACTGAGCGAGGGCCGAATACCAAGCACTTTTCAATAGAACTGGTGTTGTGAGGGCCTCGCCTTTCTTGCCTAGCAAAACATGTCAGACTGCTGCGCGATACCTTCCATAGGGTAGTTGGTGGCCAGAGGTATTGCCCAGGCATTCGCTTGCGCAAGGTTCTTAGCGTTTGAGTAGGAAGGGGATCGGAGCGATTTGGAACACCGACAAGTGCGAAATTTTCCAAGACAGATCAGACTTGAGCAGGGATAGAGCTCCACATCTGCTTCTAGTACATTATTGTACTTTCTGGTACTCTGTATATTACTGTTAGAAGAGTATGAGATCCCGTATTGTACTAGGATAGACCGTAACTTTTTGCTACAGGAACCTAATTAATAGATAAATTAATAATTGGACGTCGGACTGATAAGAGCACGGCTCATCATCTGCCAGGGGTCAGAATAAATCATGTTACATTACTAGGGCACGTATAGTACATACATTGAAAATTACGTACGTGTCTATGTCCTATACTATACAGTAGCTAGATTGATGCGAAGACTATACGTGGTCATATTTATATAAAGCACTACAGTTGCGGGACTACCTATGGAATAGGTAGATTTTGTCTCTTTCGCTTGCTTCACAAATACAAGGACTACGGACACGTGACAAAAAGATAGTAAATATGGACTTAGGTAGGAGAAGATGGGTACACGACTGTACATTATTCACTCATTGCTAAAAAAAAATTCAAACACTTGACAGGCACCATAGCTACGAGTGTAGCCGGCACCGCAGTGGCAGCGGCCTATTTAGACGCCAAATGGCACATTGCCAAAGATGTACAATATATGTGGAGAGTGAAAGCAGCTGAAAGGGCAGCAGCGCAAGAAGGTAAGTGCCTTCTAAGTTAGAAGTGTGAAACTGAATCTTACATCTATCGTAGAGCGAAAAGGACGGATCTGTCCCTTCTATGAGTTCGAGAGGAATGTTCAAAAATACCCAGATCATCTCGCGATCTGGTCACGTACAGGGGTCTATACGTTTCAAGAGCTCTATGAGCACGTCTGCCAGTATGCGAACTATTTTTACGAGCTAGGTATTCAACGTGGGCAGCTGGTCGCTTTCTACCTGACAAATAGCCCTGAATTTATCATGGCATGGTTTGCGCTTCTGAGTATTGGTAGCGCACCGGCGGCCATTAACTACCATCTCACTGGCGATGCGCTTGCTCATTGTTTGAGGATTTCCGGTGTTAATGTTCTCCTTGTGGATGAAGACGTGGAATGTCAGGGCCGAATTGATGCTAGTCGCTCAACTATCGAAGGCGAGCTGGGGATGAAGATCCTCTCCCTTGATGAAAGTTTAAAATTACACATCGCGACCTTCCCTAATTCTACACCACATGAACACCTGCGACGGAATCTACCAGGAGATACGCCTTTTGTTCTCTTATATACATCAGGTACGACTGGAATGCCAAAGGCATATCCATTCTCTCAGCGACGATTCTACCCAGATATCAGGATACACCAATTTCTCAATCTCCAGTCACAGCCTGGGCCAAAGGGAGACTGCTGGTACAACTGTATGCCACTCTATCATGGGACCGGAGGCTTTATGACGATGGTAGCTCTGTGCAGCGGCACATCCGTCGCGATCGCCAAGCGGTTCAGCGCGACCAGCTTCTGGAAAGATATCCATGATTCCAATGCTACCTGGTTTGTCTACGTCGGTGAGGTGGTGCGATACTTACTTAATCAACCAGCATCGCCTTACGATCGTGATCACAGACTGCGAGGCATGTATGGAAATGGCCTTCGGCTGGATGTATGGGAGAGATTCCGGGAACGTTTCCATGTCCCAGACATCGTCGAGTTCTTCGGAAGTTCAGAAGGTATGTTTTACAGGGCGAACATGAATCGGGGCCCATACACCAGAGGAGCGGTAGGGCTTGATGGCCTTCTTACACGTCGCCGGCTGAATCGTACTTTGGTCCCTATTGTCGTCGACCACGACTCAGGAGACATCGTTCGCGATCCGAAGACCGGACTAGCTAAAACAGCATCATACGTGGAGGGTGGGGAGATAGTCGTCGCGGCCCCCAACAAGACAGCATGGAAGGGGTACTGGCAAAACGCTGGTGCAACCGATAAGAAATTCGCTCGCGATATTTTGAAAAAGGGTGATCTGTTTTACCGTACAGGCGACGCGTTGCGCCGAACCCCAGATGGCCGATGGTACTTCATGGACCGACTCGGTGATACGTTCCGGTGGAAGAGCGAGAATGTGTCCACCACTGAAGTGGCGGAAGCGCTCTCCCAGTTCCCAGGAGTGGTGGAAGCGAATGTTTATGGGGTGCTGGTTCCCCATCATGAAGGTCGTGCCGGCTGTGCAGCTCTCCAGATGTCAGAGAAGATTGACGTCGACATGATGGAACTGGCTCGTTTCGCTCGGTCCAAGCTTCCTCGCTATGCTGTTCCTGCTTTTATACGGCTTGTTAGGACGCCTAGTCATATCCATAACTATAAGCAGAACAAGGTTCCGTTGCGCGAGGAGGGAGTTGATCCACGTAGAAAGGGATCTCTACTAGAGGGTGGTGCACATGATAGAGTTTTCTACCTGTCACCAGGCTCCAGGGCATATGTTGAATTTGGGCAGAGGGAATGGGATGATTTGGTTGCTGAGCGAGTGAGACTGTGATAAGCCTTTGGTCTATGTACATCCGATGTATATATCTACATTCAATCATGGATTCATGTGTTTAATCACATCAACGTTCTACACCAGCTATGCTTAGTCTTTCGACGCTGCAGGTTCAACAATGTGCATAGAATTTACAATAGCCACATCAAGTAAAAATACATGAACATCAAAGAGTGTCCCTTCAATTGTTAAGGGCTGGTAGTATGTAGGACGTTTCTTAAGAAGCTGGACGCTTTCGATGAATATGTATAACGTCAGGGGCAATGGACCCGAGACAAGTAGGTGCACCTTCATACATTGTGATCTAAACTGGTTCTCTCATTTCTACAAGACTTAATCCTTTCCCTGTTCGTCTTCCCTCCGCCCATCAACACACTTTGCAATCATTGTGACAAACTCACGATGAAATGTCTCCCGCCCCGAAGAGCCACAAACTTATCTATCAGGCTATCTACCGTCGCCTGAACTCCAACATGGGGCCATGCACGATGCTGGAGAAAGTGCCCTTAGACTGAAGCTCACCGGTAAGATTCCGAGGGAACGGCAGACCTGGCATGCCCTCCCCAACACGGGCCAGCTGTTCATCTTTAGGCAACTGCATCTCGTACAGAAACAGGACCCTAGCTAGGCTGATATGAAGGAGGGTCAAGGCCAGCGATTTCCCCACACAACCACGAGGGCCAATGGAGAACGGACACCAGGCTTTTCTGGCGACATCTACTGCAGCAGGGGAAATGCCCGTCTCAGGACTGGCAATCCACCGCTCAGGCCGGTAAGTGAAAGGGTCGGGATAGTAGTCGGCCTGGTGATGGATGCTGTAAATTGCCACGCCGACATCTGTGCCAGCAGGAATAGAATGGCCATCGATTGTAGCACCTCCAGAAATGACCTCACGCCACAACGCTCCACCGTTGACGGGGTTCATCCGCAGCGCTTCATCAATGCAAGCGCGTAAGTATTGACAGCTGCTTAGCTTCGGTCCGCCAACGATCTCTTCCACATCTGTGAACGTGGAGAGAACTTCGGCTACCACCTTGTTATATGCGTCTTTGTTTCGGGCCAGGTAGAAGAATGCGGCGGTCAAGGATGTTGAGGTAGCGTCGGGTCCTGGTCAGCAAGGGTCAGTGGCGAGCGGGTACTACAATGTTGTGGCTAGACATACCCGCTCCAAACAAGAGAAGAGACTCAGAGGTTATTTCAGAAAGGGGGAATGACTCCCCAGTCTCCTCATCGATGTATTCGCTATATATACTAAAAATATCTCGCTTTTCCGGTTTCGAGTTGATCCGGTCTCTCATTAGGATTCTAAAGTCATCCCGCAATGTTTGCCGTGCACGCGCCAGTTGAGGTATCACGTACCCATCAAGACCGAGCTTTGATATAGTTGGCGATTGAAAAATGATTCCGATCCATTCGTAAGACTTGTGGACCAGGTGGAGAACATGCCGGTTGGTTTCCTCTGTCAGGGTACGGAAGGGAGTTCCGAAGACAGAGTCACTTACAATGTCCGACATGAGGTATAGAGCTGCAAGTATACAAGTGAGTCTATGCCATTTCCACTGATAATGAGTCCAGACTTAAGTGAAAGCTTACCATAATCTGACATCTTCTTCGGGCTACTCCAGCCTTCCTTCTCACTTAGACTGGGCGTAGAAGACGGCTGAATTAGTTCATTGCACATGATTCGAATCTGTTGAAGCTGGGATGTCTCCCAGATCTTCAACGCATTCTTGGTGAAGGCTTGATTGACAAGCTTTCTCTTCCGGCGATGCATGTTCTTGTCCACAGCATTATGGGTACTGTAAGCAAACTTGGTCGGGAATTGGTGGTAAGCAGCTGATTTTCGGATATTTTGTCCAAAGCCATATATATCTGTTGCACGGCTCAGCGTTAGGGATTGTATAATTGCCAGTGTAAGTATAAGAACCTGCTTACCCTTCAATGCCGTACTGGTCCGGAAGAGAAGCCTATTTGGTCCGAAGCGGACAACATCGCCTGTCAAGAACAGGATGAATGTGAGTGGTATGAACATTAGAAACCCTAATAGAATTTATACATACCGTACTTCTCATGAGCCCGCCACATCTCCAAGTGAATTTCACCGGTATATGAGAGATATGCTGCGTAGAGAGATGTGACCTTTGCCAACCATGGTCCAGGATATTTGGCCAAAGGGTGCAAATAGAGACGATAGACCGAAACCACCACCAACTTTTGCTATGTGTTAGACAAGAGAGGTATTTTAGGAAACTTGAACTGAGTATCTCACATATATTACCCCGGAAAGTGCAGTTGCACCAGCAATAGCAAACGGTGAAGGGGCCATAGTTGTTCCCTCGTTTTCTTCAAACTTGGAAGTTCAGTACAGAACAGACAAATGGCTAAGAAAATTGAGACTTCTGATATAGTTTAGTTGACCTCACGAAATTGGCAATTACGACTCATCCAGGCGGCTGATTTGTTTGTCCGATAAGACCCCTCTCGCCAATGTCACATCCTGACAAGGGGAGTCCAAAAGTACCCTTCCCTATGATAACCAACCGCTCTATCTTACCTGCATGAAGAGTGTATCACTTTCTAGCCCCAGCTTAGGGAATATCCGAGGAAGCAGAGATAGGGCATGGACAAGGGGGGCGAACCGGCGAGAACTACCCGTGCCGCAGAGCGATGTAACTATGACTATGACATCTCGGTCTAGTATATGGCTCACTAATGCAATGTCTCTCGTCGAAGGATTCCCCCTCGCCATTTCTCCCCAACGTGGCGTAATCACACTCGTGTCGATCGTGTGGACTCGATTATCAACTCGGTAGGTAAGTTGGACCCGATGTATCTACACTCACATGCCATGCCCCAGTAAAATACTCTTCGATATTGGATTCTAAGCCAGTTACCACGAGATTCACTATGCTCCAACTGCAGATCATCACAATCTGACAGCCTGGTACCCGTAATTATAGCGCTTGAAACTGAGAAAAACGCGTTACAGAAAGAGACGTATTCTCAGAACAGGACGGCATACATGTCCGTATTCTGGGTTAGTTCAACTAAGCACGAAATTGACGACCTGGTTGGTCTAAGAGGAGAACTGGCAAGCAGACCGGATACCGAACAGAGTTTTGCGGAGGGACTCCTGCTATTCCTCAGAGGCGTCGTAATACAGGTTCTTTTTGTCTGCTTCCCACTCTGTGCCCTGCACTGGTCAATCTAGGACTGCTGTCTGTGCAGCCCGGTGAAAATAACTATATAAATTCTGAAGTTATAATGCCCATATCTAGCACGGCTCTCAACAAACACTTCAATTTATTATCATTCCATATATCTTCCATCTCGATCTTCCTTTCTTGCGTTCTTTATTCGGTTCAAACATGATTGTCCGCCTACTATCATCGTTGGGCATCGGGCAAAAGCCACCCATAGAAGAGAAAATATCATCTTTAGCGACGCACAGAGAGACCGCAAATCTCCGAAACATCCCAGAAGATGAGTTAGCTAGGCAAATTGAAGCTGCTGCGGAGCGAATTGCCGAGCATGTTGTCAGAACACCTATAATCCGTTTACCGTGGCTAGACCGTGACGGTAGAGAGGTTTGGGCCAAGCTTGAGTGTCATCAGCATTCCGGATCGTTCAAGTATCGTGGTGCTCTAAATGCTTTGATGAAAACCAATTATCAGCGTGTGATTACCGCATCTGCAGGGAACCATGCCCTGGCCACAGCTGCGGCAGGAAAGCAAGTCGGTAAAGAGGTTCAGGTCGTTGCCCCAACCACGGCATCCGAGCTGAAGGTCAATCGTTTGCTTAGCGATGCCAGTGTCAGTTTGCTGGGGAGCAATCTCCATGAGGCCACGATAGCCGCGATGGGAATAGCGAAAGAATCCGGTAATAACCCTGAGAGTAGCCTCAGGTTCCTTTCTCCCTATGCCGACCCAGATGTGGTCGCAGGCGCTGGGACTGTCATCAAGGAGGCTCTTGACGACGCTGGTGTAGATTTCGACACAGTGGTTGTTCCTCTAGGAGGCGGTGGTCTAGCCGCAGCGACAGCCGCATGGTGCGCAGCTCGAAGGCCTGGGACTCAAATCGTCTGTACTCATCCAGAGATCTTTGGCCGGGACTTTGATGCAGGCCGCGTTTCAGAGAAGTTAGCTCATCCCACTGTGCCAACTTATTCGGATGGACTGGGAGTCCAACTCGTAGAAGACACGCCCTTCGCTGATATCATTGACCGTCGTTTGCGTTCTATTATCCAAGTGTCCGAGTCGGACACTGCAGCGGCCATCGCTTACATTCTCCGACTACAATCATTGCTGATCGAAGGCGCAGCAGCAACTACAATTGCGGCGTGGCTGACCAACGATCCCATTTTCCAGCAACGGAAGGGCAAGGTGTTACTGCTCCTTACTGGCGCTAATGTCGCTTCTAGCACCGTGGCCAAAGCGCTGGTGGCCGATATTCATGATCCCAAACGTCGCCAGCAGCTTGGCCTGCGTCACATTCTAAATCCAGTCGAAAGACACGGAGCTGTGGCTGCTGGAAACGGTCGAAAGCGACCAGAAAAAGGCCCTCATTTAGGCCACCACACCTCGCAGTCCATGATAGATGTGTGGTCCGTTTTATTCGAGCGGCTTCAGCAATCAACAGTCCGCCTGAAGAACAGATTTGATGAAAAGAGACAACTTTCGAATAGCCTGGGTCTCCAAACGCATGAATGGTGCGTCACTATATTCATTGATGTGTACTCCAGGCTTGTCTCACTGCTTGATGAATGCCACAATGCTTTATCAACGGGACATCTGTCTTTGAAAGCGTGGGAATTGGAAGAGCGGTATCGCGTTCTTCTTCAGTTGCGATCTACCCTGGTATCATTGTTTGATCGATGCAGTGCCGCGTACGACCAGTCAAGGGCTGATTGGTTCTTTGATCCCGCATCTCAAAATGCGGCTGCTGTCAACTACGATCGTTATGGATCGCCTGATCTCAGAGACATGGAGCGCAATATGCTGTCAACTATCCGGGTTAGTTCATCGCGCCCAGTGGAATTATTGCTTGCATCGAGCGGTATGGCTGCCTACCAAATTCTGCAACATTTCCTGCTCCAGCATCTGTCCGTGAACGACACCATCGTCCTCCCACCATATATTTACTTTGAGGCACTGGAGCAACTGCAGGCACTAACTCACATTCGTGTTGTTCATGCGCCTTCCTTCGATGCGGAGGATATAATCGCTACAGCCGAGAAGCATAACGCACGAGCAGTCTTCGCAGACCCAGTAGCGAATATCGTCTCGCTGGATTGTACCGATCTTAAAGAATTGGCAAAGGCCGTCTCAAATCGACCCGGTTGGGAAGATCGATATCTGGTGATCGATGGGACAATGGCATCCGGTGCACTGGAAATTGTGGATTGGTTCCAGAGTCCTTCAGCACCAACACTGCTATACTATGAGAGCGTAAGCAAATATCTGCAGCTCGGGCTGGACATCCAGATGGGGGGTCTCGTAGTTTACCCAGCGGACCTGGATCATGAAATGCGAACTATCCGTCGCAACACAGGGACAATAATGTATCCGCGCAATGCAGCACTTCTTCCCCCGATTGACTTCGATGTCTTCCAATGTCGCATGCGCTTACTTACAGAAAATGCCGAACTCCTATACAACTTGCTGCGCAGAGCCAGCAACTCTATCGCTGAGATCTCCTTTCCCATGAAGTGGCGCGAGATGGGTTGGCGCCATGGAGGATCTCTCGTCACCATCCGATTCTACCGAGATGGCATGAACAATAAAGAAGGGCTAGAGGCTTGTATCGACCGCATTCTCCGAGCAGCTGAAAATCTTCATGTTCCAATGGTAAAGGGAGTCAGCTTTGGCTTCTCCTTCGCTCGTATTTCTTCTGCGTCATCGATGGCTAAGGATTCGGACCCTTTCCTTCGTATTGCCGTTGGGGTTGAGTCAGACCACATCCAACCCCTTGCTACGGCGATCATTCAGGGTGTTGAAGCATACTGTTTGTCCTTCAATCCAGAGTTGTTTTCCAGGCTAGGTCCAACATCGAATGGCGGAGCAGTCAATGGGTTTCTGGCCAAGTAGTGATATATAGCTAAACTGTTCATTCCTTCTCTTTCTCTTTTAGGTGTAAACCCTCGAGTGAGACTCCATGTTGCTAATGCTTACTTCTGGCATGCAATCAAGCAAACCGTCCAATAGCAGCAGCAGCTCCAGCTTCATAGTTCAATGTAATTCAGGTGACGCGACGGGCTTTTCCCTTAGAGTATATGATTAAGACGAAAGGAGCACAACCATAAGTATCAACCCAGAGGACCATCAGCTTTCCACCTCAACACCACCACATCTAACTCTGGAATATTGTGCACGCCATGAGGACCAAGGTCGACCTTTTGAGAAGGAAGATGTATCTTCCCAATTTCCTTGCACCCATTGCGAACATAGAGGGGCAGACCATGAGAAGATGCATCACCAAAGACAGTTACCCCTTCTTTGGAGGCCCGATATCCGCAAAATTGTACCAGTTTGAAGCCATATCCCCGATGCTGGTAGGCCGGATGCACTGCCAGGGTCTTGAACTCGAGTTTCCCTTGGTCCTCATCGAGGTACTGAGCATGTATCTTTGCCGCTTGTCCGTAATAGCTATCGATGGCCTTGAAGGAAATAGCTCGATTCGGAGCGATGTAGCTGTTCACCGTGGATCGAGATCCGAGGAGGACACGCCAGAACCCTGTACGAAGACAAAAATAATCAGCTTCTCCCTATCGGCACAAACTTGATGGGGTTCACAGCGTATACATTTGTAGTAGGAGTCTGGATTCCACCTCCTCAACTCCGCCGACGTCCCATACCGAACAAATGTCGCAAACGCAACGACCCTGCTACCTGCAATTGGCTCTGTTACCTGCTCATCGTCATCCTCCAGTTCCGCCACCATAGCTAGATGGCCTGGAGTGACCATAAACCGCGTCATATCCTCGACAAAATAAGCTTTGAAATCCTCCGGGTATACCTTGCGATAAGGGAAGAAGTGTTCGTAAATTGGCTCATCTGCGAATGCCAATGACCCGATATGGGCAATAGCTTGGATGTCGGCTGGGTAGGCAGGTCGGATTTTCATTTTGAGGGTTTGTTGTTTGATTCGAATGGCTATCTCCTGGCTTGTTCAGGCCATTGGGATGATATAGCTTTTTTGTAGCACGAGGTAGCAGTTTCCTCATTTATTGAGCCCAGCCAGAGGATTCACTTGCTCCGTCGAGTTAGACACAAGTGTTGTCCTCTCCTCCAATTTACCATGTCACTACCGTAAGCTTTCCGCCATGCAATACCCGTATCAAATACACTGGAAAGGAAACCGTATCGTTTCGACACATTACTGATACCAGTCGTAATTTATAACGGTAATACCAACACTGAGAACCGTGAATCCATTTGATCAAAACAAAGTATTTCTCAAAACCATACTACTTTACTAGTGAAATCTGCAGTGAGCATCCTTCAGTTTTGAGGCTACGAATCAAGATTTAGGGTTCTAGCCATGCTGGCCTGAAGAGTACGGAGGGCCGACGGAGCAGTTGTCTGCACGAGATGCTTGAATTGACTTGGCGTGGACTTCGAGCCGAATAAGGTTACATTGGTCGGATATCATACATCCCCGACTTATTGTGACGAGATTGCGCAAGCCTTAACTTGATTCCGAGAATAGATTGTAGGTATCAAGCTGCACAAGGACATAACCGAGGGTTCTCAATCGAGAGCAGGGGTTTGGTACTTCGATATTTGCTCCTCGGATAGATAGGCATCTCCAGTTAGATGGGTATCTTGTGCGTAGGACATGAAAATTTGGGCTATCATTCTACTTTAATTCACTGGGGTTCTGTCGTGGCTTTTGCCAATTGCCTTGCTATCTAGGAAAAAATGATTTCAGCACAAGAGTTCACATACAGCATTCCATCACTGTCTCTGGGAGTCCTCGTGATCAGTACCATTGCCTGGGTCATCTGGAACGTGCTACTTTACCCCAAAGTTTTCAGTCCCCTCAGAAGATTCCCAGGCCCAAAAGTTAGTTATTCCGTAACACATGTCTATATTCATAGTATAATAACCATAAGTTTCTTTTGTATAGGATAGCCATTTCTTCCACGGGCAGTTATGGAGAATCCTGTCTGAGCCCGTTGGCAGCCCAATGAGAGAATGGATCAATACGATTCCAAACGATGGGATTATCCGGTTCACCACTGTATTCAACCAGGAACGCCTTATCCTGACGAGCCCTGAGGCGCTATCCGATGCTCTGGTTACTCACAATTATGACTGGGATAAGCCGGAACAGATGAAGAAGGGACTTGGGCGCATTGTGGGTCAGGGTGTTCTGCTGGCGTCAGGGAATGTGCACAAGGTATGTACTACTCTCATGAAATGAATGAACCCTGATCTGAGACCAGATGGCTAACCAAGTATGCAAGTTCAGAGACAAAGAAAGCACCTCTTACCCGCGTTCTCCTTCCGGCACATCAAGACTCTATACCCTATCTTTTGGGAAAAGTCTTGTGAAATGGTCGAAGCCATCACGAAGGATACCACCAATGCCGACAATACAAGCACTGAAACTTCAATCTCAATCACTGACTGGCTTCGTCGCGCCACCTTAGACATCATTGGTCTTGCGGGCTTCGGACAGGATTTCGATGCTCTGGGCACGCCACACTCAGAGCTCAACAATATTTACGAGAAGGTGTTCGACCAGCCTCAAAATGAGAATGTGATGAAAGCTATTGAAACACTTGAGAATATCTTTCCTGTTGCCTGGCTAGGGAGCCTTCCGCTGCAGCACAACCGCGACGTTAAAAAAGCGTCTATGGCCATTCGCCAGGCGGCCCGGATGGTCATCCGTAGCCAGGAGCAGTTCAAAACGAAGACAACATCTAGTATTCTCTCTGGAAATAGCCTTCTCTCGATTGCGTCGCGTTCGGAATACTTCAGTGAGGATAATCTCATCGACCAGGTCATGACTTTCCTCGCTGCTGGTCATGAAACTGTCTCTACAGTCACGGGTTGGGCGTTAGTGGCCTTATGCCGTCGACCCGTTATCCAGGAAAGACTGCGGAAGGAGATTAGATCTCAACTACCCTCTCCAAGCCAAGGCACATCTACATTCAGTGCTGAGATTCTGGATGCGCTTCCATATCTCCATGCCGTCTGTAATGAGGTGTTAAGATTCTATCCTCCTGTTCCCCTTACTCGCCGTGTATGCGTCCGAGATACGACCATCCAAGGGGAACCGGTTCCCAAAGGAACAAATATCCTAATTGTTCCTGCTGCGCTGAATGTGTCCAAGAAGCTGTGGGGTGAGGACGCATTAGAGTTCAACCCTGACCGATGGATGGGTTCGGGGAAAAACAATGGCGGTGCATCAAGTAACTTTGCCAATATGACTTTTCTCCATGGCCCTCGGTCATGTATTGGAGCATCTTTCGCCAAAGCTGAATTCGCATGCTTATTGGCTTCAATTGTCGGGCGGTTTAACTTCAAGTTTAGTGATCCCGAGTATAAGTCGGAGGTCCTGTCTGCTGGCGTCACAGCAAGGCTGAAACATGAGCTTCTCTTGACAGTCGAGGTGGTAGAAGGATGGTGAGCATTTAGATCGATAGCTGGTAAAGTATTTAGAAATACATGATGAAGTGTAATAGCTGAATTATCAAGACTACCACGATACAATAAAGGTATAATTATTTTGGCCCCGTTATGATCATTCATTATCCTTGAGAGCAAGTCGAAGACGTTCTAATATATAACTTCCTGCATTAATAGATTTGTACTTGGGCTGCTCTCCTTCCGGAATGCAACTCGGAATGGTTTCAACGATCTCATCGTAGTTGAAAGAGAAGAAGAATGGGACGCTGTATCGCTCCTTTCCGGTGTAGTTGACAACTCGGTGGATGGTACTCTTGTATAAACCATTCGTCATTCGCACTGTATATGAACATAGATATTAGCATCTCTTGTAGAATCCTGGTACAGTATATGCCAACTGACTCATAAAATCCCCCACATTGACCACAATCGTTCCTGGTAAAGGGTCTGCGGCAACCCATTTTCCGTCAGGAGACAGGACCTCCAGCCCATTGACATCCGATTGTAGTAAAAGCGTGAAAAGCTCAAAGTCTGAATGCGCTCCAATACCGACCAAGTTTTCGACCTTGTCCGTGGGAGGGTAGTACAGCAGACGGGCCACTCCTCCCGGGTGAGTGACTAGGTGATCGAAAGTGGTTTCTGGAAGAGCAAGGGACAGTGCAAAGAGCTGAATCAATCGACGAGACAACTGCAAAGCCTGGCCGTAGAACCCTTTCACTCCGTCTAAGAAGCCGGGAAGATCCTCCTCCCTTGGCCAGAGATTCCCAACTGACCGAGAGCCATCAAGCTCCACGTACTTCCCATCGCCACCGGTAGGGTCAAAATCAGATTGATATGCCCAGTTGAAGGCTTCTTTGTAATCTCCAACCCCCTTTACGCCTAAGGCCTGCGCGCTATCGGGATGTGACCGCTTGAGAATGTCGGCTGATGGTCGCCAACCGCGGAAGAATTTTGAATTTTGATAGTGAATCTCTTTCTTTTTCTCGAAAGGGAGTTCCTTGAAGAATCTTTGCGCTTGATTCAACACCTCATCACATTGGTCTGCACTGATTCCGTGATTCTTGATATAAAAGAAGCCACTGGTTGTACAGGCCTCATTTATCTCCCGTGCGACTCTCTGTTTCTCCACGGGGGAGCCATGCGTTAACGGGCCAAGGTCGATGACCGGAATTGACGAGAATGCAGGCGCATAGCCTCCTTGTCCCTTTTGGATCAGCCCCTTCAGGTATTGCTGAGCCTCTTGGACTTCTGCATCAATGGCGCTTGGTTGCGAAGGGATAGTCATTGTGAATTCAGCTTCGTGGGATAGATGAATTGTGTCAAGAGCAGTTTTTGCTGTTCGACTCACATTCCTTCCACCATAAAAACACTGAAGGTACGACTCAATGTGTGTATCTCACTGAAACCCTATCCGACTATCGCCTTCTCTGGGGCTTCCACTTAACCCCACTTGCATTATCGTGTTCATTATCACAGGGGCTTCATACACCCTCGGCTATTCTATTCAACATCGCTTTCGCCCGTAGCCATCATCTAATCCCAACATGCACTTGCGATATTGGAGGATTGTTGACTAGAGTATGATACTGTGACATTGCATTAGTGCTTCCTTCGCGGTAACCACGACACGAGGGGTAAAAATAGGCTAGATGTCTTGGCTCAGCCTGACAAGGCTTCTCTTCTGCCTTACCTGCGGGGATCCTGGATTCATCGCGATAGCTTGCTAGTCGGCGCCAATCGGATCCTTCCGCGGCCTACGGGTTGCAGAGATACTCTCGATTTGACGTGATTTCAAATGCTTAGCACGGAACCCCAATCTAAGAAGATTTTCAGTAAGCGCTAACGGAGAACATCACGGGTTGTATATTTTTCCTCCTTGTTTTGTTTTTTTCAAATGGTATAACCCGTGTATCGAAAAGCCTGCCTATACGCCGTAAGTACAAAGATACTGTATCTAAGGATCGGCATGTCAGTGACTCACCCTAAGGTAACCGACGTGAGTTTCTCTCCATTCCGCGTGCTCGCAAAGTGCTACAAACTAATTTCACCCAAGGTCCACTGAGTTTCAGGGTATGGAAGCTTCCTCCTCGTCCTAGCTCACGAAGACTATTCAGCTGAACAGCCTTGCTTTCCCGGCGATTGCAACCAGTCGCATCCGGTCACCCCTTCCTCGCAATGGCCAATCGTAATGAAAGCCCTTCTCAGGAACCTTCCATCGAGGAGCAACCCCAGCCCCAACCCCAAGATCATTGCAAAGAAAATGGATACGTGAACACTGTCCATGAGACGATCGAACTCCAAGATGATCCCAGGAAATGGTCGCCTATGAGGAAGGTGTGTATTCTGCCGGCCTCTCCTTCCTCCAGGCTCTAATGGCGTTCTATTATCAATGCTCACTTTTCCAAAGTGGATAACCCTAGCGACAGTGGCAAACGGCTCATTGGTCGTTGGGTTTGCGCCGAATATCTACAATCGTAAGTATAAACATGCGGCCTTATATACTGGGGTAGAGTGATCGCTGTACACACTCACCATGACTGGTTGATAATAATTAAATTAGCTGCTATTGATGCAATCAAATCTTCACTCCATGCTCAGGATTGGCACATCTCATTGACTCTTTCTTTATTCATCCTGCTGTCGGGCATCTTCCCAATGCCATGGAGTCTCACTAGCGAGTTGGTCGGCAGAAAGGTATGTTATGGTACACTACGTCCTCTTCAAGGCAATAACACTGATGATTGAAGCAGCGTGTGTATATGGTTTCCCTAACAATAGCACTTGGTGGTTACATTGGCGCTGCGGTCGCAAACTCGATTGGACTGTTGATTGGGATGCGCTGTATTCAGGCGATGGGGTAGGTGCTCCTTGTAATAGTTCTTCTATGGTTACCCTAGACCATGGTGATTATATCGCTGACCATCGTTCTGTATTCTAGTAATAGCTCCTTATTCTCGGTAGGAGCAGGTTCGTTAACCGACATTTACGATGTTCACGAGCGCGGAACAAAATTCGGGATCTACTATGCTGCACCCATGCTTGGACCATCTCTCGGTATGCTTGCGGTAAGGTATATTGGACTGATCCGTGACTAACAGAAAGAAGGCCCAGTTCTTGGTGGTATTTTGACGAAGTACTTGTCCTGGCGCGCTACTTTTTGGTTTCTCGCCATTTGGATCGGTGTTACCATCTTCAGCGTGCTCGCTTTAATGAAAGAGTCTTTCCGGAAAGATCGTAGTACTACATATCAGGATGCATTGGCAATACGAACTGAAAAGATCGCTAGGAGGCAAAGCCAGGCGATACACCGTTCGTCATGCGAGGAAGGTGCTTCTCATCACAGCTCAAGAAGCAAGATAAATGTCTATCCTACCGATCTCAGGGTAGCGACATCACTAAAGAGGGTCGTTAAGAAGCGTAACAATGTAGTCCTACTAATTGCTACAGGTAAGAGCAGCTGTATTCCAAAGCAAACTTTCCCGGGCTTGTGCGATAGAAACAGACTGACGGCATTCTTAGGGCTGAACTATGGGTTCACTTACAGTATATCTTATACCTGTACTTTGTCTCTCTCTGACAAATACCATCTGGATGCGCTCAAGATAGGGCTGGTACTACTTGCTTATGGACTAGGTCAGTCGGGCAATGTTTTGGTAATACCAGTCTCGTGGTTATTAACCAAACAATAGGCAGCATGGCTGGGAGTGTCCTAGGCGGACGATATTCAGATTATCTTCTGGCTCGCTCACGCTCCCTGAATAACACTGCAGTTGCTCCATCTGAAGTGAGACTCAGAACTATTAGTGCTTTCTACTCGTATATTCAGACTAACGGCGTTTCTTCCAGGTGCGTCTCGCGACCACTATACCGGGTCTTATCATAATGCCAGCACTGTGCCTTGCATATGGGTGGATGGCGCAATACACTGTACACATCTCAGGGATCGCTATCATCCTTTTCTTCGGAGGTCTTTCTTCTATGTATATACCCCACCCTATTGTATCTTTGTCATATGGTTCCGCGCAACGTTCCGTAGCTGATGAACAAATTCTCTCTATTAAAGCTGGGTTTATTCTCCTACCATGTCATACCTGCTTGACATCAACCCGGGGAATACTACAGTCACTGTCGCCTGCAACAGCTTCATACGTGGCCTCCTCGCTTTCTTGTTTGCGGAAGTTGCAGTTCCTCTCCAGGTACGCTGAGTCTTCAGATTATACAGCGTGTTCTAACAAAGAATAAGAATGCCATAGGGGACGGTGGCTTGTACTCGTTATGGGCTGGCCTGTGGGCCCTTTGCGCTGTCCTAATACTGATAGTCTACTTCAAAGGGGGTCACTGGAGAGCGCAATCTTCTTCAAGCGTTTAAAGGCACAATATTATATGCAACGATTAACACGATCAGAATAGTTGCGCTTGTCTGTCTGTACGAAAAGCATTGTCCTCCCTTCTGGCTCCGAGTCCAATTTTCTCTCCAATTTGCACTCCAATGCTCTGGATGTATTGGGAATGTTCCATAGTCAATCGGATAAACTCTTCTGGGCTTGCTGACTCATTCAGAAGGTTCTCCAGGATGAGGCTATGGAAGGCAGCTTGTTCAGTTCCGGCACCAGTATGCGGACGTAGCCCAGCCAATGCGTCTCCGATAAGAATAACCTTGCCCTCGTGGAAGAAGTTCTGGGGACTGATCACATCCCAAATAGCCTGAACAAAGGGTCTGTGAGTGCTTTGAACAATCTCGTAGAATTGCGGCGGAAGGACTTCTTGTGCAAAGTTCTTTTGGCTATCCCAAACCTCCGGCCGTACTTGTCCAGCTTGCAGCGTTACTCGATGCACTGATCCATCATTACCAGTCATCAGCTCGGGAGATGGGAGTGAATTCTCTTCCGAGTCACAGTACCAGACCCAGTTCACGTAGCGTTTGCCTTCTTCCCCGGGTACAACATATACGACCATTTGACATCCGGGCGAATTATAGAAAACCAGCTTGTTCAAACAAAGATCGAAAATAGTCGGTGCTATCTCATCTTCTACGACAATGCCTCTCCAGGCGACGTATCCGGCATAACTCGGCGCCACATCCTCCAGCAGACTCCTCCGGAGAGCAGAGAAAGCACCATCCGCACCAAGAAGAAGATCCACTTCCTCACGCTTCAGTATCCGATCTGCATCTGTGTAAGACACTTCGATTTTGTCATCTTCAATCCGAACATCGGCTTTCGTAACGGTATGTCCCTCTAGATATTTCGACTCTACCTCTCCACCGTCGAACGTTTCGCGGGCAATAAGATATAGCTGGTCCCAGCTCGTGGTCTCTTGATGTTTCTCTATCGTACGAATAATGGTTCCGGCGCGATCGAGAAAGAAATGCCCATCACTGGTAACCGTCTCGAGCTGGTGATTTGGAGAAAATCGAGATAGAAATTCACGGATCGACTTTCCGAGTACGATGCCTGCACCGCTGCCTCTCACGCGGGCGGAAGTATGTCTCTCGAGAATGTGCACAGAATGGCCCTGTGATTTAGCAACAATACCCGCGAACAGGCCACCCAGCGAGCCTCCGGCCTTAAGTGAAGATAGTCAGGGTAATAATTCTCGTCGAATTGTATATCAGGTAATTGACATCGTACTTACTACAATGACCTTCATTGCCAACTTAGTTTAAGCCGAACGAGGACAATCCAATGCCATTCGCGGTGTGTGATAATCGTGAAACCAATATAGTCAGACAAACCCTTCAAATACGATCGGTGTTTAATCACTCTCCGACGGCCCGGTACAGATGACCTCTTGTAACTCTGTTTTACCAAACCAATACCGCCCGTCCTACATGTATTACGCCGATACAATCGTGACAATTGTTAACGTTGACCCTGGCATCACGCCATATTTTCATCTGCTGAAGGATTCAACCCGCTGATAACACTGTTTTAGTGTATTCGCAACCGTGCATGGCTTCTCTATATTGGTCTTGTGATGTGTCTTATCATAGTTTAGGGTTCCTATTGTTTGCCAATCCTCGAAAAGTCAGTGAGGCAGGAATAAAATAATATTCACGTAATGTAAATTCAAGTAGTTTGCTCTTGGTCAATGTACATCTGGACAACTGGCAGGTTAGACCTTATCCAACCCATGGCTTGGTCAATAATATTATGCTCAAAATTATTCTTATACACTTTCCTGCTCAACGCTTAACGTTTACTATCTCTCGTCAAACTGATCAGAGAACACTATGTCCCAAGTCCCAGATAACACAGTATATCCCATACTTCAAAACCTTCCAACCGAAAATGACCCCCTACTCCCCCGTCTGTCCGACGACAACGAAGCAATAGCACACGAAAGACCGATAATATGTATTCCAGGTTCTCTGCCCCGATCAGTGTGGTTGATAGCGCTGGTCGAAGTCTGTGATCGATTCGCCTTCTTCGGTCTCGCAGCTCCCTTACAAAACTATCTTCAGAATGCAAAGGATGATCCTCTACGCCCTGGTGGCCTGGGTATGTTATATATATCCACGAGGCAAGAAAGGAAGTCTAAGTAACGATATAGGCCTTGGACAGTCATACGCCACCTTAGTAAACCTATCATTCACAGTTTGGTGTTACGTGACGCCGATCTTTGGTGCCATCATCGCTGACCAATATATTGGGAGAAAAGCAACTATCACACATGCTAGTCGAGTATATGCAGTAGGGCTATTCATTTTGTTTGGCTCGTCTCTTTCTGTCTTCAAAAACAGCGATGTTTCCATTCTGGCATTGCTTGCTGCAATGCTATTGATCGGTATCGGCGCAGGCGGTATCCGACCCAATGTGAATTCGTTGATTGCAGAGCAATATCAGCCTGCGGACCAGCCTGTACATAAACTAGACACTGGGGAGACTATTTCCATTGACCATGATATGACTATTCAGAGGTCAGTGCAATCCCTCTTGTGCATTTGCTCAAACCCATCGGTAACCTCAAAATAGGATCTTTATGACCTTTATCATGCTAACAAACGCCGGCTCCCTCTCCTCCATTCTAACAACAACAATCGAACACCGACAAGGCTTTCCCCTTGCCTTCCTCGTCCCAGCACTGACTTTCACATCCATCACAACTTTATGCCTTTCTCAAAACACATACTCCTCCCCACCGACAACAGAGTCAACCACGCTCCACGCTCTCCAAGCTTTCTACATTGCCGCCCGAAACAACTGGACCCTAGACGCAGCCAAGCCGAGCGCTGAAGAACACCACCCATGGTCAGAAACCTTCATTGGTGAACTTCGCCACTCTCTAAGAGCCAGTCGAATCTTCCTCTTCTACCCTATCTTCTGGGCATCTTATAATCAGATGCTCACGAGCTTTATATCTCAAGCTGCCAATATGAATACACATCGTTTACCGAATGATATCATGTTTGCCATCAACCCGCTCAGTATCCTGCTGATAATCCCGGTTCTAGACCAAATCATTCTTCCTCGGGCCCGACGCGTTGGATTGGATCTATCCCCAATCACTAGGATCACCGCTGGGTTCTTCCTATGCGGTCTCGGTATGGCCTATGCCGGGATTCTCCAATACACCATCTATCACTCCCCACCCTGCTATGCCTCTCCACGCTCTGCAGGGTGTAATGCTCCAAACAATGTCCACATAGTCTGGCAAGCACCCGTGTATATAATCTTAGCGATCTCAGAAATCTTCATGTCCACCACCGGACTAGAATACGCATACAGCCACGCCCCACGCTCCATGAAGTCAACTATCATGGCGCTATTCCTATTTACCTATACACTCGGGTCTCTGTTGTCGATGCTAATCACTCCCTTTCTGGTCGATCCGCTGATGACCAGGGCGTATGCTGTGTTGAGTATAAGTACTTGGAGTTCCGGAGTGGTATTCTGGGTTTGTTTTGGGGTGAGGCGGGGGATTTGATCAGTTGTGTAATTCCTAACGTAGAGCTTTTTGGTTTGAAATCTACAAACAATTGATGCTACCTCTTATGGCCTGCAAGGGGATCGATCATTGATGTGATGTATCTAGCATGTGACCAGGGGGGTCAGGTAAGATAACGAATCATACATGTATCAGATTCAGAACCAAATACCATACCCAAACCTCAAAAATACCAGCAGAAAAACTTACAATCCCTCCTTCCTCTTCTTCACGACCAAACTCTCGCACTCCGCAAAAAACGCCCCCAACTCCATCTTCAATAG